AATATATGTATAAATATATATATATAGTGTGTTAGTAACAAATGTTAAAAAGAAAAATAAAGCAGTAAAACAGATTGGATTCTGTGCAGTGGTGGTGGTGGGAGAATCTGCAAGTTCCGATAAGGTAGCCAGTGAAGGTCTTGTTAAGGTGACATGTTGCTGAAAACCAGAAGGAGATGGAGAAAAAAAGTAGAAATCTGGAGGAAGACCCTCTGAACCAAGGAAAGAAGTGCCATAGGCATGGTCCAGAAGCAGAATCACAAATGATCTGTCCCAGGAACAGCCAGAGCAAGAGAGGCACATGGGGAGGAAGGAATCGAGGGAGAATGGCTGGCTATGGATAAAGCAGAGAGGTGAGTGAGGAGCAGTCATTGTGAGCACTTGGCCTGTATAAATATTGTGGCAAGCAGTCTGGTATTCAATACAATTTGAGCTGTTTCTAGGGTGTTAGAGGATGCAAAAAGGGTGGTAGGGAAGGAGGGAAAAAAAGAAGGAAGCAGAAGGGAGGAAGAAATTAAAGAAGAAGGTGAGGGAAGAAGAAAGGAGGGAGGAAATGCCTGTGAACTCAATGCCAAGCTTAAAATGGCATAGAGAAAAAAAGAATAAAAGTTTCACAGATGAGATGTGTAGTGTGCAGCTCAGTAAAAGTGAACAACAAACCCATAACGATGCTGATGACTCTTAATAAAGGAGTGAAAAATTGGTTCTCACCCATTCCAATTAGACAATCCTTTTTTCCCCTCACTTTTAATTTCGTAAAATCAATTAGAATCTAATTATCGCTCTGCAAACTTATAGTGTTAATATATCTTACCTTCAATGGAGTTAAAGTCCAATTAGCATGCTTTTCATACACATGAATCTTATGAGCCAGCAATTCAGATATATAGACATACCTTCAAAGAAGAAAGCACTATATCAAAGCACTTGAAATAATGCAATTCAAACGAGAAGGTGGAGTTGTAATATCTCTTCCTGAGAAGAACTTTGCTTAGGGACTGAGAAATGGAATTTATCTCAAAAAGCACCAAATTCTAAAAGAATTCGATGAGTTCACAGTGCACAAAGATGCTTAATCTCTGAAACATTATTTCTAAAAATGGGACTCTAGTTGTCCCTGATCAGAAGGGAAAAAATTATCTATAACAACTGCTCTCCACTTGTGTCTGAGAACACAGTGCAATTCATTGACTGACTATATTTATCAATATGGTGACAAGCCCCAGACTTCTCATTGCAGAGCCTATGGGGTTCTCACAAGACAAGCTGCAGGAAAGCTCTCTGACAAACACTAGGTTTTAGGTGGAGACGTTGTGAGAGATGACAAGAGGCTTGTCCTGGATCTGCGTGAAGTCTCCCTACCCTTAGTCTTTCCTGACCCTGTGGATTTACGATTTCACACACCTCTCGTATGTATTTAGTTCAAGCACATTATGAAATCCCCCAAATAAAAGATAAATGAGTGTTTGGTTACCTGCTATTTTTGAAGAAGAGATGATATGAATCTTATAAAGAAGAGATGATAATTGGAAGATTTTCATGTTGTTTATACTAAATATGCATGACTAACCCTCTGAAAAAGCCCTGATGTGGTAATGTAGGATAAGCACTAGATTGCTAAATCCACCAACCGCTCTCCAGAGACCATATACAGATTTGCTATGAGTTGGAACCTACTCGATGGCACACCATCACCACCACCACCAAGCCTCTGAAAAGGAGTCTCAGTGCTGCAGTGGATTATGTATTGGGCTGCTAACTTCAACATCAGTGGTTCAAACCCACCAGTCTCTTTGCAGGAAAAAGATGAGGCTAATCTCTCCCATAAAGAGGTACACTCTCAGGAATCCTAAGAAACAGATGTACTTTGACCTATAGGGTAGCTGAGTCCTGGTATAGCGCTGTGGGCTAATGTGCCGACTGCAAAGCCATTTGAACTGCAAGGTCGGCTGTTCAAGCTCACCATCTGCTCCTTGGAAACCTTATACAGGGTCACTATGGGTGGGAATTGACTTGACGGCACTTAACGACAATCCTCACGAACATAGATGCAAAATTCTTAACAAAATCCTTGCCAATAGAATTCAATAACATAAAAAATAGAAATAATACATCATGACCAAGAGGCAGTCATACAAGGGATGCAACAACAACAACAATAGGGTAGTTTAAGTCCTGGTGTGGTGGTATAGGATAAGTACTGGACTGCTAACTGCAAAGTTGGTGGTTCAAACCCACTACTTGTTCCTCGGAAACACTATGCAGGATCACTGAGTCAGAACTGATTCAATGACACTTACCAACAACAACAGATAGGGTGGCTATGAATCAAAATCGACTGGTTTTTGTTTTGTTTTGTTTTTAAATCCTCTAAAATCATCAATAATACAATGTAAGGAAGGTATAGATGGCTATATATAAAGATTTTATGTATTATAATATATGTATGTTAGTGTGGTGATGTAGAATATGGACTAGACTGCTAACCACAAGATCAGCAGTTCAAACCCACCAGCCCTTCTTTGGAAACCCTATACAGGTCGCTAAGAGGCAGAACTAACTGATGGCACTTAACAACAACTCTGCATGTATGTATCGGGGCTATCTAAAATAAGATCCACAGACCGATGCCCATCTGTGAATTGTTTGTTGCAGGACTACCAGGAGACAACAATGTAAATCAGCTAGATCACTAATCACATGACCTAGCTAAGCTAACTCTTTTTCTCATGTTCAGATGTTTTTGATGAAGGAAACAGTTGCTTGATTTACATTTTGGTGCAAGTTTTCTTGTCACAAACTAGCATAATTAATATATTTCTGCATTTTATTAATTACATTTTACATTCAGAACTCTTTCCTTAAAGCAAAGTTATTTAATAATGTTGTTGCTGTTGTTAGGTGGCATCAAGTCAGTTCTGACTTGTAGCGTCCCTGCATAGGGTTTCCAAGGAGCAGCAAATAGGTTTTAATTGCTAAACTTGGGTTAGTTGTCAAGTGCTTATCCTACAGTGTCACAGCAAGCAGGGCTACATATAATATTAAATGTCTTGCACTGTTTCCCATCTTGAAATGTATCAATTTGTCCGATAAGAAAATAAAGATGGTATGAACTTCTGAAATGTAAAATTACGACTTGATAAATTTTACCCCCTGAGAACATATTAATAAGATACTTTAGTTTGCCTAATTCATATTAATAAAATAGCATGTTAATATCCAACACATTAATTAGCAAAGGAATATATATTTAACTCTCATTAAATATATTTAATGAGGATGTGCAGAAATGGTTATGATTTAAAGAATTCACATACTTGCCATCAGGTGAAATGTTGATTCCATTAGCAAAATCAAACTTGTCTGCCACAACACGAACATCATTTGGACTGTAGTAAACCACATTTGACCATGCTAAGCCCAAATACATTTCCCAGGATCGTAAGTAGGGATCAACGAAATAGTGATCATTCGTGGCATAAAATTGCTCTGGTCCCACAGCAACAAGATCATTCAAACTGCAATTCAAATACATACACATGACAAACAGGTGAAGGCATTGTGTGAAGTGACATTGATCAGTGTCTGAAGAACAAGATATGGAAGAGCCCTCACACTAACTCATGTGGCACAGAATTAGTACGAGCACAGTTTCACCTAAGAAAATTCTACAAAGACAATGATTAAGAGGTTGTTAAGGAGTCCTGGTGTGGCGCTGTGGGTTAATGCGCCAGACTGCAAAGCCGTTTGAACTGTAAGATCAGCAGTTCAAGCTTACCAGCTACTCCTTGGAAACCCTATACAGGGTCTCTATGGGTTGGAATCTACTTGACGGCACTTAACAACAACAAAGGTTGTTATAGAAATGTGACATAAAAATTCTATTCGTTGTATCTTAAAAGTACTGTTTATAGTGAGTGTGTGTGTGTGTGTGTGTGTGTGTATTTAGATATGCCAAATTAGTAGACATTAAATTAGTCCAGGAATCATTATCAGGGCAAACTTTATCCGTGCTCATAAAGAAACTCACAAGCTAATAGTCTGAAGACTTGCATTTCAGTTAAAGCTCCATACTGTTAGTTGTGTGACCTATAAAAAATTGTTTCATGTGTCTGTGCCTCAGTTTCCTTTTCTATAAAGTCTATCTTTTGGCCTTAAAAGATCATTGCTAGTTGGAATGTTTCATGATTCTAAACCTGAGGAAAGTGTCCATGAAAACTTATGCTCAGAAATCGGAGGCTCCAGCTTATTTTCTGATTTTGATTCTCTCTGCTACTGAGGATGCAAGATATATGAGTCTATTCTTCTGCTTTAATAGATACAATACTGAACACATAAGTGAGTCATTCCTTGCTGATTGAGGTGATGGAAGTTCCCGGGGCCATTATCTGGAAGAGAATTATCTTTGCTCTATTGTGGAGAGCGTAATGGTCTAAACAGCAGCTCTGATGCAGCTCTGGGCTCCAGGGTGAGTTATAGAACCTGACGGAGCCTCAGTTTTCTCTCTTGGAAAGGGAGGTTAAATGCTTTTCCCAAGGTTATACGGCTCATTAATAGAAGAGGAAGGGTCAGAATCTTAATTTGTGGAGTTGCAGTGGGGATGGCGATGAGACAATGCCTGTTGTGTGTTTTGCTAGGAGCCTGACACCCACTCAATCCTCTGTGAATAGAGGCCATTATTACTACATGAAAAAAAGATCTAGGGAATTAGGATTAATCTGCACAGATGCAATAAGAAACCAGCAAGCTAGACTTCCTCTCTCTAAAAAAGCATACTAATTTCTAAATTTCTGAAAACATTTGCCTGTTTGTTTGTTCATTAGGAAAGGAGGACTGTGAAATGATTAAGGGTTCCAGCTTTGAAATTTTTAAGGCCAACCATTTGAATCCTGGCACTATTTGATCTTTGTTAGGGCCCTAACACATACTAAACTCTGAACCACTTCTCTAACCTGTTTCTTCTGTCTACTTTGTAAGGATTGTTGTTGTTGTTGTTATTATTAAGTGCCATAGTGTCATTTTTTGACTCACAGCGATTCTGTATAAGGTTTCCAAGAAGTGGCTGGACCACTGCCTTTGAGGTCCAAAACAACTTTGTAGTCAAGCACATTAACACGCAGCACCACACCAGGACTCCACATCTTGTAAAGGATAGAAGGAATTAAATGAAATAAAGAATGTAAATGTCTTGAAACCATCTCTGGCCTATAGAAAATGACCAGCAATGGCCACTGCTTTATTATTAATAACAAACATTCTTAAATTATAATAGATTTACTAATACTAATATTAATGTTATGAGGGTCACTATGAGTTGGAACTGACTTGACAGTAGTTAACAACAACCCTGAGGTTGAGAGAGTGGAATTTTGAACTACTGTGGTTATTTTCAGTCTTGTTCTATGCCGCCCAAAACTTTCATTTTTGCAACTGGTTCAGAAAAATTACATTAGCCTCTAAAAGTTGTACAACAATATTTACAGGATTAAATAGTGAAACAAATAAAAACGGGTTTTCATTATATCATACTAGATTACATCACTGGCTCTAGACATTTTACTGTGTGCCATTGAGTCAATTCTGACTCATAGGAACCATGTATAGGGTTTCTGAGGAGTGGCTGGTGGGTTTGAACTACTGACCTTGTAGTTAGCAGTCCAGTATATATCCTACAGCACTACAGCAGGACTCCACCGACTCTAGGCTACAAGGATTAAAATCCATTTTTACCATTTGCTGGTTGGGTCAGATGGGTCCAATTAATATACATTCCAACTCTTCATTTAAAAAAAAAAAAATTAAATGGGTATAATAATTGTTGTTAAGTGCCATTGAGTCGGTTCCAATTCATAGCGACCCTGTGCAGGGTTTCTGAGGAGCAGCTTGGGGTTTCCGAGAAAACCGTTGACCTTGTGGTTCAAACCGACCTTGCAGTCCAGTGCCTGATAGAGCACCTGTAAAAAGTCAGTAAGATTATCTTTTTAAGTTGGTTAGAGTAGCATCTGGCTTAAAGCTCACTACGTTGCTATTGTTATTCTTACTACTATACCAGGTTCTCAGTTTTACAAGGTTTGCCTTGATTTAGAGCTTAATGTTATCACATTCACCAGACACCTAGTGACATCAATCTCTCTTCAAAATATATTTGTTGAATGAGCATGAATAAACTTTCCCACCAAAAGCTGCTTCTAGGAAGTCCACTCATCCTAGACTAAGACTTGGTGGTGCTGTAGAATAAGCACTGGACTGCTAACTGAAAGGTCGGCAGTTCAAACCAACAAGCGGTTCTGAGGGAACAAGATGAAGATTTTGGTTTCCATAAAAACTTGTTGTTGTTGTTGTTAAGTGCCATCGAGTCGGACAGCCTTGGAAACCCTATGCAAGGTCACTATGAGTTGGAATCGATTCGATGGCAACGAATTTGAGTTTTTTTGAGACTAAGATCTGGGCTGTTGTTTCTTATTCAACCACTAATTAGTTGATTGACCTTCATCCAGTAACTCTTTCTCTCTCAGTCTCAGTTCCTACATCTTCAAAGCCACCAGATAGGGAAAGGAAATATCACTGGTAAATGTGAACACACGCTATGTTCTAGCAGCTCTGTCAATAACCAACTGCCTAACAGAAAGCTCAATTTACTGAGTTTGTTTAAAGTCTGCATAAATTATACACATGGAGTTTGAGATTCTAGGCAATATCATGTTTAGGTATAAAATATATCTTGAAACAATGTAAGATTGTTATCCTAAATTTATCACTAACTGCACAGAACAAATTCCTATAGGCAAAAGAACACAAAAATTGAGTTTCTGTGTATTGACCAGGATCAAGGTCTATGTGTGTTTTTTCCCTCCACATATAGAGCAAGTCAAAAAGTCTTGCTACTAGGGTTCCAGTTCATACATGTAAGGGTTTATTCCAAACAAATCATGTCTTTGTTATCAGTGAATGGTTGCAGATACATTCACTCGGTAACACATTTGAATCAATTCCGACTCATAGTGACCCTATATAGGGTGCCTTAAAAAAGGTCCTTCTTACAGTCCTGAAGGACCCTAGGACCATCAAGGGAGAAGAGCACAAGCAGAATGCGAAACCTTATTCTGAGAAGCAGTGATATCAGAGATGGAGGCAGAGATGGGGACATGGAGAGAGGGAGCAGCTGAGGACTTTAGATTCATGGGAAGAGAGGGACTAAGAGCCGGTGGCCAGGAGGCAGACTTGCAGAACGTGCCTTTTGGTGGTGTACTTTATTATATATGCCTGAGTGCTTAAAAAAAACAAGAAGAAGAACTAAACTGAATAGAGAGAAATACTGTTAACTGATGGTACATGGAGGGGATTATAATCATTGTAATGAAACAAGGTATATGATTTGTTAAATGTAAAACTGATGATCTACCCTGTAAACTTTCACTCAATCTACAATAAAAACTTTAAAATAAAAAAAGGGTCCTATCAAAACAATGGCTTCTGAGAAAATCTGTCGGGCCAGTTAAATTCATGACAACTGCATTATGGGATTACAAAGGACCCAGGATGATTACGGGTCCTTATTATGAAAACGTTTTCAGAAAATTGAAAACTGCGTCAGTAAGAAAAAGGCCAGAAAAACTGTACCAAGGAATTTTTTTTTCTATCATGATAGAAGGCCTGTTCTAAGAGAATTTCACTAAAAAATGTAACCACTTTACCCCATTCATCCTATAGCTCTGCTCTTGACCCTTCAGACTTCCTTTTGTTTCTAAAACTCAAAGAATATTTAAAAGGAACATGATTTCAGTCCTTTGAGGATGCCCCAAAACTGCTTTGATATAAATCAAAGAGCACAGAATTCTATGAGGAAGGGTTAGAGAGATTCAGAAGCATATAAACATTAATGGGGGCTATGTCGAGAAGCAATAGCTTCATATTTTGATATATTTGTTTAATAAAGGTTTCTATAATTTTATAGCAGTATTTTCAGTTAACTTTGTACTATATTGTCAAAGAGTTTAGGAACAAGCTGAACATTACCACAGTTCCACAGACTGTGTACAACTGAACAGGAGCAGAATCCATACAGTGAGATCTAAGATGTACCAGGTTTTCTTTTAGGTATGTGTACCTGAGTCACAGAAATATATAAGACTATATTTAAAAATAAAAATAATAAATAAAACTCAATCTGTGGAATTTGGATTGGGATTATTAAATCTGGTTTGTGAGAAGCGTAGAACATGTTCTTGGTAAAAAGTCAAATGAAGACCCTAAAATGAGGAAAGGTCTCTGAGAGGGCAGGAACCCTGAAAAAGTTCTGCAGAAGAACTTTTGGAGGGGTTTCTGATCATTAGAAAGCAGAGCTGAACCGCCATAGCCACCATGACCAAAAGGAAAAACGAAACATGGATTAGTCATCCACAGAAGTTGAAGAAAAATCGAAATATGATACATCTCAGGACAGTACTTAGGCAGAAGTTCATGTCTGATGGTTTTCAGATGCAAAAGTGATTTGTCTTCTTCTTGAAATTTAAACAATTCCACAGTGGACTTAGAATCTGGATGGCTCACCACCAGCAGGTACACAGTATTATCTGAGAAGAGATTAAAAACAAAAATTGAAGCATTAACTGAGTTCTCAGCTGTCAGCCCTGTCTCCAAAAAGCAATTTCAACCCACCTCCAACTAGTACTTAAGATGTCAGGCAAATGGAATATATTCATCTCTTTGTAGAGCGAAGCATTTGTGATTGCTCCAAAGAAAAGTGGCTTAAGGAAGAACCAGTGACAGTCTCTGAAAACCCAAAGCACCACAGGGAATGAATCTTCAACTTAAAAATGATCAGCGCTGACACTAAAACTCCAAGAAGCTTGTTAAGCTTTTTGTACTTCAGCCTGTTCTCAATGAGATACAGAGTTGAAATAAAAGGGGAAAATCAATATGAGAAGGCAAGCTCAGGCAGTGTACACTTCCACAGTGTTGTTGTCATGTGACATCCTCCCAATTATTATGGTTGAGCCCATTGTTGTCAGTGTGTCAACCCATCTCCTTGAGGTGTCTTTCTCTCTTTGTGACCATTTACTTTTCCAAGTATTATATATATAGTCCAGGGACTGATCTCTTCTTTCAATGTGTCCAAAGAACGAGAGACAAAGTCTCATCATCCTTACTTTTAAGAGGCATTCTGGTTATAATTCTTCCAACACAGATTTGTTGGTTCTTTTGGCAGTCCATGGTGCTTTCAATATTCTTTTCCAATACAATTTGAATACATTGATCCTTCTATGGCCTTCCTTATTCCCAACTTTCACATGCATATGAGGTGATTGAAAATACCATGACTTGGGTCAGGCGCACCTTAGTCTTCAAAGTGACATCATTGGTCTTTAACATTTTATAGAGAGATTTTGCAGCAGATTTACCTAGTGTAATACATCTTTTGATTTCTTGACTTCTGCTCCCATGACTGTTGATTGTAGATCCAACCAAAATGAAGTCTTTGACAACTTAATATTTTCTCCATTTATCATGATGTTATTTATTGATCCAGTTATGAGGATTTTTGCTTTCTTTACATTGAGGCACAATCCATACTGAATGACTAGTCTTTGATCTTCAATAGTAAGTATTTCAAGTTCTCTTTGTTGTAAGCAAACAAAGTTGTGCCATATGCATATCACAGGTTGTTAATGAGTCTTCATCTAATTCTTATGCCACATTTTTCTTCATATAAACCAGTTTCTCATATTACTTGCTCAGCATGCAGATTAAAGAAATACGGTGAAACAATACAACTGACACACACCTTTCTTGATTTTAAACCATCCAATATTCCCTAGTTCGATTTGAACAACTGCCTCTTGATCTATGTACAAATTCCTTATGCTCACAGTTAAGTGCTCTGGTATATCCATTCTTTGCAATGTTACTCAGAGTTTGTTATGATGCATAAAGTCAAATGCCTTTGCTTAGTCAATAAAGCATTAGTAACCTTCTTTTTGGAGTCCTGGTATGGCACTGTGGGTTAATGCACTGGATTGTAAGGTTGGTTTGAACTGCAAGGTCAGCTGTTCAAGCTCACAAGCCACTCCTTGGAAACTATACAGGGTTACTATGAGTCAGAACCGATTCAATGGCTCTTAACAAGACACAGAAACACACAACAACAACCTTTTTGGAATTCTCTGTTTTTAGCTAAGTTTCATCTGACGTCAACCATGAAATCCTTGTTTCCACGTCTTCTAAATCTGGCTTGAATTTCTGGCAGCTCCTTTCAATTTACTGCTGCAATCTCTCTTGAATTATTTTTGGCAAATTTTGCTTGCATGTGATATTAATGATATTGTTCGATGATTTCCACATTCTCTGGAATGGGCACAAATATGGATCTCTTCCAATTGGTTGGCAAGGAAACTGTCTTCCAAATTTCTTGTTATAGACAAGTGAGTGTTTCCAATGCTGCATGGTTTGTTGAAGCATTTCATAAATATAAATTATTTCATCAATTCCTGAGGCCTTGTTTTTCACCAGTGGCTGCAGTGCAGCTTGTACTTCTTCCTTCAAAACTATCCCTTCTTGATCATATGCTACCTCTTGAAATGGCTAAGGATTGATCTATTCCTTTTGGTTCAGTGACACAGTGTTTTTCTTCCATCTTCTTTTGATGTTTCTTGCATTTAAATATTTCGTCCATGCAATATTTCAATATTGTAACCTTAGGCTTGAATTTTTCAGCTCTTTAATCTTAGAAATGCTGATTGTGTGTTCTTCCATTTTGATTTTTTTCTAGTTCTACAGCTTTGCATATTTCATTATAATATCTTACTTTGCCTTCTCTAGCTGCCCTTTGAAATTTTCTTTTCATTTCTTTTACTTCCTCATTTCTTTCAGGCTGTTTAGCGTCTCTACTTTCAGGAACACGTTTCAGAGTGTCTTCTGACATACATTTTGATCTTTCTTTCTTTCCTGTCTTTTTAATGATCTTTTGCTTTCTTCACGTATGATGTATTTATCATCCTACAACTCTTCTGGTTTTTAGTAATTAGTGTCCAATGCATCAATTTTTTTTTTTCTTGAAATGGTCTCTAAATTCAGGTGGAATATATTCACACGTAGAGTCTTAGTGTGGTGCTGCAGGATAATGCAAGGTCAGTTTGAACCACAAGGTTAATGGTTCAAACTCACCAGCAGCTCCTCAGAAACTTATACAGGGTCACGGAATCAACTCAATGGCACTTAATAACACCTGCATATTCACAGTCATATTTTGGTTCTGGTGGGCTGCATGGAAGAATCTGATAAAAACAAAAACAAAATGACATTTACAGAGAACACCTGAGACACAGTAGCAAAGGAAAGCAGCTTCCATGAATGAATGTAAGTTTGAGATATGAAAAAGACCAATGTAAATGATGAAGAACATGTGACTGGATTTGGTAAGTGAAGTTTGATTATGGTCTTTGATTTTAGAAGCAGTAAGTCTTTGGAAGCCTTTGTCATGATTGCATTAATGTTTCAAGGAGAACAATACACCATTTAGCAGGTTGAATTGAAGAGACATGGGAGTCAGAGAAGCCGGAAAGAAAGGTCTTCAACAACGCATTTATTAAACAAGTAATTTCTATATTGCAGTTGGTGTTAAGTGATACAAATTAAAAATAAAACAGGGCAACCTTTATCAAAGTAATGAGTTGCTTTTCTTCTGGGTCGTGAGAAACATTCTCACTGATAATGTGACATTAAAACAGAATCCAGAATGAAGTAAGGGAGCAAACCATATGGATACCTGAAAGAAGAGAGTGTACAAAAGCCCTGATGCAAGAGTTTCCTTACTACATTGATTTCATAGTGAGGAAGCTAGATTGATTAGAGTGGAATATGTTTGTTTGTTTTTTTAAATGGGAGGGATGAAGGCATAGAAGTCAGCTTTAGTGTTCAGGGTAAGAATCCAGTTCACTTTTGAGGGTTTTGAGTTAAGGGGCAATTTGACCTGATAATTACAGCAATAATTATTGTTGTTGATAAGTACTATCAAGTAAATTCTGAGTCAGTGATCCTGTTTATGGTTTCTGAGGAGCAGCAGGTGCCGCTTTTTTTTTTTTTAACCTATTCTAAAGCACCACATAGTTGGATGTGTGGAAGTAAGGAACAAGACCTGGAGGACTGTATGAAGAAAAGACAGAAAAGACAAAGACAGGCATCTTAAATAAGAATCAAAACACCCTGGTGATGGCTGAGGAATAAGAGCCCACTGAGCTGAAAGTTTGCTGAAGCCAAGATGTTCACTTAAAATCAAACATAAGTGAGATTAAAATGTCAATGAATATTTTGTCTAGTAGATTCTACTTCTAGGAATTGACCCTAAGGAAATACTGATGAAGTTCTAGGCACATACGTATTTATTTTGACATTGCTTACTGTAAGCATGAAGTTGGGACAACCTACATATCCATCTTCAAATAAACTGTATGATGGTTCTCCCACACAACTGAGCCCTGCACAGTCACTGCAAAGTAACTCTCAGTGAGTGCTCTGTCCTAGAGGAAATCCATGATGGAGTGTTCAATGCAAAAGCAATTTATAAACGGACTTGTGTAATGGTACTTCTTTTTTATTTAAGAAAGCATATACACTTAAAAGTTAAATTAAAAAAAATAAAATCTGGCACTGAAAGAGAATACACACACACATATGAGCATAAGCTAAAAAGCATTGCTACAAACTAACAGAAACTTTTATTAAACAAAACCATCAAACTGTGTGTTACTGTTTCTCAACATATCCCCCATCAAAATCTATACACTTCTTTTTAAAATAATTTTTATTGTGAATTACAGATAAGATCATTTTTCCATTCCAAAAATCCTGTATTTTGTTTCATCTTAATGATGACATTCCCCTCCATGCAACAACAGTTATCCCACTTCCTCTTTGCATTTTGCCCACTTTTTTGCATTTCACCCACTTTTCTATCCCTTTTCAATTTTGTCCTTAGGAAAATGTTGCCCTTTTGATTTTGAATGACTGACCAGCCCATGGTGAGTATAGCTTATTAGTGTTGTTGTTCTGCCTATAAACCTATCCACTCCTTGGCTGAAAATTGGGTCACAAGGGTGAGTTCCTTTCCAGATCTGAAGGGTAGTTGAGGACTATAGTCTCCAGTTAGTTACTCCAGTTTTTTTTTCTGATTGGTAAACCTGGCCTCTTTTTTTTATTAAATAATTTTGAGTTTTGTTCCACATTTTCTCCCTTTCTATCTGGGACCCTCTAATGAGATCACTATCCAGGTAGTTGGTAGTGGTAAGTGGATACCACCTAACTCTTCTGGTCTCATATTCATGGAGGCTGGAGTTCACATTTTCCATTAGTCTATTGGACTAACTGATTCCAATCCTCTTCAATTCTTATCACTCTTTCTTTGGCACGTGGAGAGACCAATATCTGCGCCTTAAATGACTGTTCATGAGCTTTCAAGATCTCAGCTGTTACTCGCCCAAGCAGGATGTAGAACATTGTCTTCGTGGACATTATGCAAATTGATAATGGTGTCCCCTGAGACTAGCGTCCTGAGTCCCCAGACCCATAAAGTCATTGT